GTAGCGCCGCGGCTCCTGCAGGCACTTAAAGATGGACCGAGTTAACCGGGCCACGAGGGGCAGAGACAAACCGGGGCTGGGTGCCCAGAGGGAAGCCCTCCTGCCTGTATTTTCCTCCCCTCCCCTCCCCTCATTTCCCTCCCTTCCTTCCTTCCTTCCTTCCTTCCTTCCTTCCTTCCTTCCTTCCAAAATATATTTTTATTGATTTCAGAGATGAAGGGAGAGGGAGAGAGAAAAAAACATCAATGATGAGAGAGAATTATTGATCAGCTGCCTCCTGCACACCCCCTACTGGAGATGGAACCGGAAACCCAGGCATGTGCCCTGATGGAGGGTGGGGGGAGGGACGGACCATGACCTTCTGGTTGGAACCATGACCTTCTGATTCATAGGTTGACACTCAACCACTGAGCCACGCTGGCCTGGACCTTCGTGCTTCTTGGCCTCAGTCTCCACATCAGTAGAATGGGACAATACATACAACCCTCGCTGCTCCCCCAGCTCACAGAATCATGAGGATCAAATGGGATGGCACTATCCAAGTGTGATGATTACTTCCAGGGGTGGGGGTGGGGGGGGAGGGTGCAGAAATCGTGGCCCTCCACCTCTGACCAGGGTGTGCAGCACTCCAGGGCCTCCCAGGGCGAAAGCCCAGGCAGGGGAGCAGATTCCTAGTATCATTAGCCCATGGCCTTCTTGGGGGCAGGCAGTTAATCTTCCTCTCCAGCAGCAATTTTCAACCTTTTTCATCCCATGGCACACAGAAGCTAATTACTAAAATTCTGCGGCACACCAGAATTTTTTTCTGACAGAAAAATAGGTATAGTTTTGACTCATTCACACCAGATGGCTATTGTTGGGTTGGCTGTTGTAATTTTTTAATTGGACAATCTAAGGGAAAAGAGGTCAGTGCTCCTGAGTACATAGTTGAATGTTGCATCTTAAGAATTCGGCGTGCCCTGACATCTGGGTTGGAAACCGCTGCTCTGCTGCACCCCCCCCCCCCCAGCTGTTGTCAGGCCAGTGCCCTAATCTGTCCCCACAATTCACCCTGACGGTCTAACCATACCCAGGTCTTCTGAAGTTCACCTCAAGACGGACACAGGAAGTCCTGCCAGTTCCTGCCTCCCTGGACCTCACTCACGCGCTCCATCCCCACCCACATCTTACCCTCTCAACAAGCTTACAAAGGAGGAAGGGAAGTGGTGGAGAGTAGGGGACAGGCTCCAGGGCAAGGGTTGAAAACCCCCACAGTAGGAAGTCCCCGCTGGAAACCTCCCTGAGCACTAACGGTGCCCATTGTTTCCCCCGGGTTCTTTCCACAGTGGGGACAGCCTGGAACGGGCCGAGGACCCAAGGACAAGCCGTCCGCACAGATGCTGGGGCAGAGGGAGCACCAAGCTCACCGGGAGTTAGGCTTCATCCCTCTGCTCTCCTGTTCTCCGTGAGATGTAACCAATCAGGGCCGGTAAACACTAAGCACCCACATTTACTCCCCGTCCCCTCCAGTTCTTTCCCACAACACCCTGCCTCCCACTGTCCTCACTGACCCCGCCCCCCCCCCCATGCTCCAAAGCTCACATTCCACCTGACTTTGCCTCAAATTCTTGCTCTGGAAGGAGCTCTCTGAGCTGTAATCTGCCCTGAGAGAGAGGTCCTGGGCCCTCCCCCAGGCACCCAGGGCCCCTAGGAGATGTGAACCACACAAGGAAAGGCTTAGAATGAGGATTGAAGACTTTTCAATCGGCCTTTCTTCCCGGGATCATCCTTTGCCCCCACTTCAAGGAAACCTGAGCTGCCTGGGGTGGGTTTGGAGGGATGGAGTGTGGCATGAGGATCACAGGTGGCCTGCATGTTTGACCAGGTCCCGAGGAGAAACAGCCTGGATATGTAACCCCAAACCCAGCGCTCCAGAATTTAAGGTCTGGAGTGAGGTACTCTGCAGCTGGACCTCTGGAGGCCTTGAGTGAGTGTGTGTGTGTGTGTGTGTGTGTGTGTGTGTGTGTGTTGGCACAAGAGGAGAAACCAACACAAAGTGTCTTAGAGCTTAGGGAACCCCCAATTTTATTTTCCAGGAGGAGTCAGGGGACACAGGGTCTAGGAGCCCCAATGCAATGGCAGATTAGGGTCTTCCCCTCCCCCAACAATGGGCTTCCCTTCCCATCCCTCAGCCCAGGATGCCCCCAGGAAGTGGTCTCTAAGCCCTGGTGGCTCACAGACCCCAGCTCATACAGACAAGTACGGGAGCCCCACTCATTCCAGCTTCAGGGGGACGGCCACGTGTTCTCTCAGGTCATCTGACCCCCAGCTGGCCTGCTGGGACCGACCTCTCAGCCCAGGGGCGGGGAAGGAGCCCCAGAGTGATCCCCCCAGAACTCTCACTCCCCTTTGCCCGGGGATCTAGGGGAGCCTTCCTTTGATGGGGTTCCCTTTCCCACTGTCCTGAGTGGGCTGAATTCTCAGTGGGGAAGGACAGGTGTGGAATTATTCCCTCTATCCCAGGTACTCTGGTTTAGACCTGGTTTCTGTACCTTCCCTTCAGCGTCTTGTTCCTCCAGCCTACTGCTTCTTAGTTTTCGTGCATACCCTGACCCCTTTCCACATCTTCCTGGATCTTGCTTTCTTCCCCTAGGAAGTGCTCGCCAGCAAGGAGGCTTATATTTTGGAAGGAGATCTGGTGAAAAACTCCCTCAGGAATCAGCTCTTCCCAAACCCCCACTTGCCATGGAAATAGGGGCCCAACCCCCCTCCCCTCCCTGCAACTCAACTCACAGTCCGTGGAGAGGAGAGCAGCGGGCAGCAAAGACCCCTGGAGGGAAGCGTCCATGCCCCTGACACGGCCCCACACCCGTCCCCTTGGAGGGTGAGAGCCACCGAGGACACGCTGTTTCTCCTAAATGTAGCAGCAGCTCTGACTAGGACTTGCTATCTGTGTCATACCCACTTCCCAGGCTCCCCTGCTCCTCTCCTGTTTCCACAGCAACCAGTCTGGCGACAGCTCTAGAGCATCCCCCTTCCCTCCCCAGTCCTGGGTACCACTAGAGGCTGAGCCACACGCCGTGGTTATTTTTAGCCAAAGTCCCTCCTCTTGGACAGCTCAGAGCTTTGCCTTCTCACCCCCTCAGGAAAGAAAGAGAAAGAAAAAGGAAAAAGCTGGCGCGCTTGCTCTTTCCTGGGAAGATCCTTGCTCTGGGAAAATGCAGGCCCTGACGCGTTTGGGAATAAGGTGTTTGATTTCCTGGGGACTCAAAGGGCCGTGTGGGAGCCGGCAGCTCATCACTTCCAAGGGGGCCTCCTGCTGCTCTGAGGTCAGGCCGAGCATCACAGTCTATTTCTGGAGAGGCCCCCATGATCCAGAAAGAGAGAGCGAGAGGGAAAGAGCTCCACCAAGGAAGGGGAGCTGGGCCAGGGGCTCTAATCTTTGTTACTAAGTTGTGATGTGGCCCATAGGAGTCCCCTCCCTTCCCCGAGCCACAGCTGTTCCATTTCTCACAGGGTGTGGGCCTTTCCGCCTGCTTCACAGGTGTGCAGACCGAATGAGGCAATATATACACAGGCCTTTGAAGTTAATTCTGTTAGAAAGTCTAGAAACAATTCAGATGTCCAACCGCGAGAAACGGCTAGGTTGGGGCTTACTAACTATTCATTCAGCAAACGTTTATGGAGTCCAAGTGCCAAGAAATGTGCTAGGTGGGGTTGGTTACAGAAATTAATGTCTCTACCTAGGACAGCTCCTGGTCCAAGCGGGAGATAGACACGTCCACGCATAATACTAACACTACTGCTAATCACTTGTTGAGCATCAGCTATGAAGTAGATACCTACCTCATTTAAGAACCCCGTGAGGTACCCAATGAGGTAAGTATTATTTGCTTCATTTTTAAATGAAAAACTAAAAAGTAAAACTGAGAAAAGGTGAATGATTTACCACATGTCACAGAGTTTGGATAACGGCAGAGATGACAGTCAAACACACACCTGTGCCACCCCCTCCCATGCTATTCTCACAAAGTTACACTGCCTCAATAATATTGGTGGCATATCAATATAATTGGTTACTATTTTATATATGTAGATGTGCCTATAGGCACACTCTTACATAGAAAATTCTTATAAGTTGACATAACTGTATAGAAATAGCTGTAGGAATACTGATTAAAACAAGGAAAGATTTTGGAGAAATAGAAATACCTCAATGTTCATTTTCTCCAGGGAAATAATTAAAAGCAGAGAGTGGTATACAAACACTGGGTGTTGTTATTATTGATATTATTATTAATCTGTTCTCCAGATTCCTTTTTTTAAAAATATTTTTTTAAATTGATTTCAGAGAGGAAGGGACAGGGAGAGAGAGAGATAGAAACATCAATGATGAGAGAGAATCGTTGATTGGCTGCCTCCTGCATGCCCCGCACAGGGGATCAAGCCCATAACCTGGGCATGTGCCCTGACCAGGAATTGAACCGCGACCTCCTGGTTCATAGGTCAACGCTCAACCACTGAGCCATGCCAGCCGGGCTATTCTTCAGATTTCAACAAGAAGAGCAGGAAGAGATAGAAATGGACACCAGAGGATAAAAGTTCCTGGAGTGAACTGGCAAGGTGGGGAAGATGGTACTAAATAATATACTCTTTGGAGGCAGTGACTGGGTTCAATCCCAAAGCTGTCCACTACCAACTGGGTGACTTTGAGCAAGTTGCTTCACCTCGCTAAACAGTTTCTTCACCTAAGATATGAAAACAACAATGTTATCCATCCCTTGGGGTTGTCATGAGGATTATGTGAGGCAATGCCTGGCACATTGTAAATACTCAGTAAATTCTTGCTCCCTCTTCCTCCTCCTCCTGGTCATGATCCTCACCATCCCAGGCATCTCCTAGAGCTCCACCCATCCTGTGCTGCCTTCCTCTGTTCTGGTGCTACCCAGTGAGACCTGCAGGGGGCACTCCTGGTACACGGCCCTTCTCTCCCCAGCCCTCTGCTGGTGTTTCTTGTTCCAAGTGGAAATATCGAGTTTTCGGCTGAGATTGGCATCAGGAGGGCTGTTAAAGCCCCAGTCAACATCCCCGTCTCCTGGGCCGGGCCCTGTCACCTGAGCCTTGGGACTGCTAGCCTGCTCCTCTCTGTCCTGCCAAGCGGCCGCTCATGTTGGTTCCACTGTGCCAGGAGCTGGGAGAGAAGAAACCAAACTCCTGGGCAAGAACGCATTTGCATAGAACTGGCCCCATTTCCTGGAGGGGGACATCACAGGGCTGGCAGGGCCTTCCAGAAGGAGGACCAGCCAGTCCCTGCCTCAGTCCGGGCTGCCCTGGGTCTGGCCTCGTGGACAAGGAAGGGGCTACTACCACCTCCCTGATTTACTGATCCTGTAGGTCCTGGGCGTTACCTGCTCTCTAACCTCAATTCCTGTTCACCACTGAGCCTGACCACAGTGAGAGGAAAATCGCTTTCTCAGGTACCCCAGGATTCAGAAAAATGGGTGAGACCTCAGCTTTCAGATATCGTGAGATAAAGAAAGCAACTTCACAAGGAACCAATGAACTATGTCAGTACAGTTGTGATGATGGGAAGCTGGGGTTGGAACTGGAGAATATTGAGGGCAAGAGGGGCACAGGTGGGGCCATATTGCTGGTGTGTGAAGAACCTTGGAACAGACCTCTCTCAGCAGATGCTTTCCTCATGTATGGCATGGAGCTTGGAGATCAAGTGGTACTTTTGGGTAGTAATAATAATAATAATGGGAATCCCTCCAGTAGACACAGCTCTGAACCACGGTGCACGAATTGCCAAGCAAAATGCAGTTCAGTTCTCAACTTGCCCCCTCAGTGGGTGCCTTTGTGCAGCCCACAAACTGTACAGCTGTGTGGGCAGCCCTGGGGTCAACACATCTGGGAAGTTTCCTTGAGTGAGAGCATGAGACTTCTTGTGTAAAAGCTCAAAGGTGGGGGAGGAAGCATGATGGGGAACAGGAGATGGTTGAGGATATGAGATCCATGGAGCAGGGAGGCTGACATGGTAGATTACAACAATTCCTTTTTTAAAATATACTTTTATTAATTTCAGAGAGGAAGGGAGAGGGAGAGAGAGAGAAACATCAACGATGAGAGAGAATCACTGATTGGCTGCCTCCTGCACGCCCCACACTGGGGATCGAGCCCACAACCCGGGCATGTGCCCTGACCGGGAATCAAACCGTGGCCTCCTGGTTCATAGGTGAACACTTAATCACTGAGCCATGCCAGCCGGGCTAAAACAATGTCTATAAATTCAAAGGAGATGGGACCTTAGAAAACTCTGAGCAGAGGGAGGATGTGGTTGAAGCACTGAATGTGGCTGGAGAGTAGAGTGAAATGGAAGAAGCCCAGGAAAATCCAGGACAGAGGGTGCCCGGTGGGGCTTCTGAGGCCGAGGGGCTTGCTGGCCTTTGGGCTGTTTTCAGCAGAGCTAGAGGGTGAGAAGATTTCTCGTACACGTGTCTATCTTGCTTTATAGAATTGGGTGGAGGTGGATCAAAGTTTAAAAGTCATGGCATTGGTGCCTGGCCAGAGTGGCTCAGGTGATTGAGCATCGTCCTGTGCACCAAAAGGTTGCTGGTTCAATTCCCGGTCAGGGCACATATCTGAGATGGGGGGTGGGGATGGGGGGGGTGGGTTGCAGCATGTATACTAGGCAACCAATTGATGTTTCTCTCTCACATCAATGTTTCTCTCACTCTCTTTTTCTCCCTTCCTCTCTCTAAGCATGTCCTCAGGTGAGTATTAAAAAAAAAAAAAGTCGCCTGAGCGGCGTGGCTTAGTGGTTGAGCATCGACCTATTAACCAGGAGGTGACGGTTTGATGTTTGATTCCAGGTCAGGGCACATGTCCAGGATGTGGGCTCGATACCCAGTATGGGGCGTGCAGGAGGCAGCTGATCAATAATTCTCTCTCATCGTTGATGTTTCTATCTCTCTCTCCCTCTCTGAAACCAATAAAATATATATTTTTAAAAAGTCATGGCATTGGAGGTGGTCCAGAATTAGTCCTCACTTTACAGGTAAGGGATGGACCCCAAGCACTTTATAAGGGATGGGCTGTAAGAGAACAGACAGGACTCAGACGCAGGCCTTCCATGTCCTGGCCCTTGGTTTCTTTATTTCCTGTTGCCTCCCTTCTACCTTGGTGCATTGTGTGTTAATGAAATTTTCTCTATTGGACTCAATTGAAAAGGTACTAGAGGAACCACTTAGTTGAAGAAATCCTGGGAAGAATCCTTTAGTAATGTGATTAAGTATGCCCTAATTTATATCTTACAAATGTAAGTGTGTATAGATCGAATTTACTGAAAGGAGGTGGTATACTGAAATAATGATCTTTAGTGACTGTGGGCATGTAGCTCAGCCACTGTGGGATTTCTCCTCTGTGGGCTGAATCGCCCAACTCCAAGGTGCCCACTATTCATGGAATTGTTCAGCCTTGTGGATCACCTGGGATTCTGGAGTGAGCATTGTCAGTGTCTCTACTCCAAGCATGTCAAACTCAAAGGCTAACACAGGCCAAATAAATGAGGCATATGGCCTGCAGGCTACGAGTTTGACATGCTTGCTCTGCTCTTTCCAGTCAACTCCACATTTACAACGTGCCAGTTTGCCTATTCTGAGCCTCTTCATACCTCCTAACCCAAAGCCCCCACCCTGCCTTCTGTCCACACCTGCTCTTCCCAGCAGAAGCCCCTCATACTGCTGCCCACCCGTGGATACTGCTGCCCACCCGTGGATTCTCCTTCCAGAACAGATTGCTCACTCCTGGGCTCTGAGGGAACCCTGTCTCATTACAGAGAAGGTGCAAGAAGAGATGAGGCTAACATTGGAAGGAGTGAGTCTGACAGGAGCAATCAAGAATAAGAAAGGCACAACTTGCTAAACTGGGAGAAGAGAAGGGAGGTTGTCAAAGAAAGACAGTTCCCCTAACTGCCATTTTGTATGGAGGACACTGGACATCACAACCCTGGCAAGTTTTTCCTACCAACATGTACTCACGCTTACAATGAAGATTATGTTTAAACCATGCAGATTCACTCTAGTATTTACTGAGACAAACACACGTGGATTCAAGTTCCAAATCTAACACTTTCTAGCTATGTTACCGTAGACAAGCCACTTACCTCTCTGAACTTGTTTTCCCATCTCAAATAATATATTTAAATGCACAGTAAACATTCACAAATACTAATTTCCTAAAGCCTTTATCATTGATTCCCTATTGAGATCCTGGTGACTATACTAGAACTTCTCTTTTGTAGAAAGACCTAAAAATTAAGAACTGACATTTGATATGCACAAAGGAATCTACATGGCAGATATATGTATATTTGTTATAAAACATAATTTAAGAACAAAACCTCAAATCACTCTTTTTGAAAAGATATCTTTTTATTGATTTCAGAGAGGAAGGGAGAGGGAGAGAGAATCATTGATCAGCTGCCTCCGGTGGGCCCCACACTGGGGATTGAGGCTGCAACCCGGGCATGTGGCCTGACTGGGAATCAAATTGTGACCTCCTGGTTCACAGGTCGACACTCAGCCACTGAGCCATGCTGGCCAGGCTTACATCACTCTTTTTGCATTAGAAAAATTCAGTGCCATTCAAGCTATCTGTGTACTTTTTTCACAATCTTACACCCCTGCTGTTCTAGAACATCAAAACTCTTTCTAATTGCCCAGTCCCATCCCCACCCTGAGTTTTAAAAAATGACATTTCTGCTCTACAGAAAAAGTAGGAACCATTTGAAATGAAATTCTCCAGAGAATTCTCCTTCACTACAAGCCATCTCTTTCAGCTCTTTTAGCTCCATATTCTCTCTCCTCTCAGAGGAGAACCCTAAGTCTTGAGCTGTAAGCAAGGGGTATTTAGGGTTTTGACACAAAGGTATAGGGACTGACATGATGAATACAGGTTGCCTCTTCCTTTGAGACTGGAGAGAAGGGTGAAGGGTGGGTTAGGGTCCTGGGCTGCTAGTGACCTTCCAGATTCTGGTAGTAATCTTGGTGAGAGGTGATGGTGTCCTGGACCACAGCCATGAGGATGAGATAGAGAGAAGGGAGCAGGATTTAGGTGATTTAGAAAGCAGATGCATTGATTAGATAAGGGAGATGAGGTGAGGAAGAATGAAGGATCTAGGATTGCTGCCATGTTTCCCCTTGATTCAAACCATCTTGCGCACCTCCTGATGGATCTTTCTATAATTCTGCCATGGCTGTGTCTCTCACTACCACCCCCAGGAACCTGCCATTGCTCTCCACTGCCTTCAGGAGCTCAGAGCTGACCATGAACTGTCACCACTCTGTATTTACTCCAGGTCTTCGCCCAACACACTCTGCCTAGGTGCCTGACCTGTAGCCCATACCCTCCTCCCTTCCTGAGGCGCTACTTGAAATGTACATTTACCCATCATATGGCTTTTAGAGGCTGAACTGAGCTAAAATTTGAAGTTTCTTTGTTGTTGTTTTTTCCAAGATGTGTATCAACTCAATATGGTAATACTGGTTACTGATTAGTAGTTAAATATCTATGATGAATGAATATGGGGAGATAATTATTTTTTTCCTTAATAAATGCCAAGGGTGGGACATTGAAAATAAAAACCTCTCAAAACATGAATTCAGGGGGGCAAGGTGAAAAAAATAACAAAACTCATAGACACAGACAACAAACAATACAGTGATGACCAGAGGGAAAGGAGGGTGGGGGCAGGTATAAGTGGGTAAAGGAGGGATAAGTGGTGATGGAAGGAGACTTGACTTTGGATGGTGAACATATAATATAATTATTATACAGACGATGTAGTATAGAATTGTACACTCGAAACCTACATAAGCAATTTTATTAACCAATGTCATCTCAATAAACTCAATAAAAACAAACAAAAAAACCCACCCAGGAAAAAACCATGAATCCAGATGATGAAAGAAGGCGGCGATGAAAAGGTTGAGAACCACCACCCCGTCTAGGCCAGCGGACCGGTTGCTGCATGATCCCAACCAGACTTGCATTTTCCTGTCCCCCCGGATTTTGTGAATGCAGTTCCCTCTGCCTCAAGTGCCATCACCTCCCAGTACCGGAGTCTCCCGCGTTCTTTAGATGTCACCTGGGCCTCCTCCGTCTGCTGGGACCCCCTAAGTAGAGTGACGTTTCCCTGTCTGCCGCCTCCAGCGCCCCATCTCTCCTTCCTGACCCAGCTGACCCAGCGGCTGCAGGTGGGGATGGTGTTCTGCGCATCCATCCGGCATCAGGACCACACCCAGTGCTTAGAGACGCGAACGGCAAGGAAACTGCTGAAAGCTATAACCCGGGGGTCCCCGTCGCAGCCCCTGTGCGCCCCTCGGGGCGGCCCTGAATTCATTCCCACCTCAGTAACTCGGCCCGGCCCGCCCCGCCGGCTCCCGCTCCGTTCCCCACTCGGACCCGGCCGCCTCCTTCCTTCCCTCTCCCTGTCATCTTGCCAGCGCCGCTTCTATCACTTCGCGGATCGTCTCCGTCTCCCATTCCCCCGAGCCTGTCTGGTTTTCTGTCTTTGGGTGTTGCGCTCTGCTCCGGCGTCTGGGCTCGGCTCCCTCGCTCCCTCCGCCCGCCCCTTCCCGCGC